GTTTGGTGACAAGGAGGAGGGGAAGGAGGAGGGGGTTTAGGAAGGAGGAGGAGGAGGGGGAAAGGGGAGGTGAAGGAGGGGGTGAAGGAGGGAAGGGGGAGGGGGAGGGGGAGAGGAACGAGGAGGGGGGAGGAGCAGGGGAGAGGAGCAGGGGGAGGAGGAGGGGAAGGGGGAGGAGGAGGGGGAGAGGTGAACACGAAGGGAAGGAGAAGGGAAGACGGAAGTAACGCAAGTCTGATGCATCTGCCACAGGATGAATCTAGTTGCATCTTTCAACAGAGCTCTGGGTACGAGGCTCTACCGCTCTAGGTTCAAGTTCGCTCAGAGCTGGAGGTCCATGAGCGATAAGGCAGATGGAGATGATCAATCGGAGAAGGCATACGTCATCAGAAAGGCTAACAGGTGCGCCTCGCCCCCGCCCCTTCAGTATGACAGTGATGGTTGCATATCGTTAGAGTACAAAAAGTGGGAACAATATGTACCCCAGACCAAGTCGATGCCCCGAGGTCTCATCCTCCCTTGCCCGAGATCTGCATTGCAGGTGACTCAAGAAACATGAGCGAGGGCGATGGTTTCTTATCTTTTTTGGAGGCCGTACCAACTCAGGGAAATCAAGTCTGATCAACCACCTGCTGGCAAAACCTGGAATAGCGAGAACGTCGTCAAGGTGACTTTTTCTTCTCCATCTCAGAGATTGACATGTAATGAAGGGCAGGAAAGACCGATGAGATAAACTTGTACATGGTGAACTCCTCTGTGATTCTAGCTGATTTCCCGGTATTCATTTTGCATCTACTTCAAGATGCAATGGAATGTTGACGTGTGAGTGTAGGGATATGGCTTCGAGCACAAATATGTGAGCCGGCTGCAGCTTCATTTAACATGTGTCACAAGCATGCAGGGAGTTCTAGCCAAACGTTGGGAGACAGTTTGGGGCCCTCTGTGCGAGTCGTACATGCATAGGGTTCTGCTTCACTTAAAGTTCAGCCACCACCTAACGAACTTGCAAAGTCACCAGTAGTTGCAGCTTTGTTCTTGGCAGACATCCGGTGGCCAGTAACTCGAGATGATTATTTCTTCGTGCAGGTGAAAGCACCGCTTGCTTGCTTGTTGGCTCGCCTTGTCTTCTTCTGACAACTTGCAGACGATGAGAGAGGCTGGGATCCCCGCCCTTCTTGTCTTGACCAAAGATGATCGCATCAACGACAGTGAGCGTGTTCACTTGCGATGCAGGATTGCAGGGTTACAATTGTCTAGGGGTCAAGGCGAAAGGACACAATGAGAGCCTTGCCGCAAAGAAAGTCACCAGGACTGTATCGCAGGCTCGAGACGTAAGGACTCTTACCTTGAGGATTGTACCTCGGGCATGATTATGATGGCGGCAGGTGCATATTGCACGTTCCTTCCTGACAGACAGAGTGCGGAAGGGACTGTTATGGCCCGAAGATCTGCCGCACGTCCATTACAGCATCGAGAGTGTACGGGAAGCTTTCCTTCCACCCCTTCCTTTAATTGTCTCCTGTAGGGTCCCGCAAGGAGGAAGCTGAGAAGGTGGATAGCATCGTTAGCTTTGGTAGACTATGAGCATGCCAAACAGAAGATCTGATTTATTATGTAGGCAAAGAACCACGACGAAGCACGGCAGGTTATTTTGTTGCATCTTACAGCGAACGACTAGGTTTTGAGAGCGGTGCTGGCAGATCTTGGAGGCAGCATGGAGCAAGCGGAAAGAGAATACACAACATGAGTCGGAGAAGGAAGGCGAGGAAGAGCAGGATTGACAGGAATAACCTCTACTGTAAGATCATCTTTCGCACTTTGTCAAAGGTCACTTCCATAGAACCTTCAAATACATCATCAGCAATACTGGCAACTGGCACCACAATCACAATCAATGAGCATACTTTGAGTCCTGGTCAGCATCAAAGCCAAGAAGACCTTCCCTGCCTTTGAAAGCATCGCAAACAGAACCTCGTTGGACAGGATGCTCTTTCTCCACTGTACACAAGTCAGTGCCGAACCCAAATTGACAATTGAAGCCACCCGTATCAATGCAAGGATTGCAGCGAGAAAGAGAACAAGGCCAAGGCCACGTTTGAGAGATTGTAACTTCTTTAGCATTGATAGAATCTTTCCCAAGTTGAATCGATGCCTTGAAGATCTTCGTTCAAGTTGCATCACTCTGAAAAGAGCAAGCTGCAAATTCTTGGCAGTCTCAACGTTACGATCTTCGAGCCGTGTCACTCGATCTCTCATAAGGTGCATGGATTGAAAATAGTTTCCAGAAGCAAATGCAAGATTCTTTTCTAACGAGCTGATCTTGTTTGTGTGCTTTGATATCATCTCTTCGTTCTTGGTCACACAGCATCTCAAAGACCCGAGCTCGTCGATGTGTGAGAGAGCTTCTTTGTGCGCTCTGCTCATACCGCATGCATAACCTGCAAGGAATTCTGGTCCAACTGACAAAGGAAGAGAAGCTGGTACGTCAAGGTTGGGGTAAGAAACATCAAAGAGCTTCGGCTTTGATGTCTCATGACCTTCGAGAGATCTTAAGGCATGCATTTTGTTCCTGTTGATGCCTTTTGAGTGCTGCAAACTCCGCGGCAGAAAAAACTCACCAAGACACATTTTCCTTGTCAGCTTGAAACTGCTCGTCCATGTTTGAAATCATAACTTTCTGCGATAAATAAGAACCTCAGGCTCGATTTTCCAACTCTAGTTTCCTCTCATTTCCTCGTCTCTTCTGTTCCAGCGGAAAGAGAACTTTCCTTTCTTTCATCATCATATCCTCCCTTTCTCCTCTAACTTCTTGACTTCCCAACGAATCCGATCCTTCTTTCCTTCATACCTCCTTCATATCTCTCTCCTTCCCCTCCTTCACTCCCTCCTCCCTCCCGATTTCCCAGGGTCCCCGACAAATGTCGTTATCCAGCTCTTAGAGGGCCCCCACATCACCTCTCTGACCATCGTGTTTGTGGCACTTGCTTGAGCTGCACCTCCCCCACTTCTCCGTCCTCTCCCCCTCCCTCCCCCTCCAGCATTCCCTGGTCCTCTCCTTCCTCTCCCTTCCTCTAGCATTCCCTCTTCTCTTCCTCTCCTCTCCCTTCTCCCTCTCCCTCTAGCATTTCCTCTTCTCTTCCTCTCCTCTCCCTCCTCCCTCTCCCTCTAGCATTTCCTCTTCTCTTCCTCTCCTCTCCCTTCTCCCTCCTCTCCCTCCTCCCTCTCCCTTCAGCATTTCCTCGTCTCGACCTTTCCCTCCTCTCCCTCCTCTCCCTCCTCCCTCTCCCTCCAGCAATTTTCTCTTCCTCTTCCTCCTCCCTCTCCCTCCAGCATTCCCTCCTCCTCCTCCTCCTCCTCCTCCTCCTCTCCCTCCTGCCCTCTCCGCCTCTCCGTTCTCTACCGTCTCCTCGTCCTTTCAACCTTCTCGACCCCACGTTACCCCTCTCCCTCCTCTCCCATTCACCTCCTCTTCATCGATTGTTCTGCTCAAAACAAGCCAAGTAACCCAGAATGAACCACCCGCTCCGCAGGTGCCATACAGGTATGGTCAAGGGACAGCGATGGATCATGCCCAAGGCGGGTTCTCTTGATCAGCTGCGGCTGGAGGGATTCGACGAGTCTGAGTTGCAAGCAACAGAAGATCTCCTCAAGATCGAGGTCAGAAGTTCAGATGTCAAGTCTAGAGTGACTCAGTCGTCTGTGCAGGTCAAGGCAATCGGTTTGAACTTTGCAGACATCTTTGCCTGCCAGGGCCTCTACTCGGCAACACCGACTGGCTCCTTTGTCCCTGGTCAGCCCAGCTCCAGCTGCTTCCTGCCAGCTGACGTGGCTCTTGTGTGCAGGACTTGAGTTCAGCGGCATCATAGTTGAGGTTGGAGCAGATGTGAAGGAGCGGGATGGCTGGAGGCCAAAGGCAGGAGAGCGAGTGATGGGAGTCACGAGGTTCGGAGGGTACACCACCCACTTGCTCACGCGCTCCTGCTTCGTTCGGCCGATCCCCAGCGACTGGAGCTACGAGGAGGGTGCAGGATTCCTATGCACGTCACTGACAGCATGGTATGGGCTGGTGCATCTCGGGGGGTTGAAGAAAGATCAGCACGTCCTCGTACACTCCGGTGTAGCAAAAGCTGGCTGGTTCCTCTCTTACGGTGACTGGTTCTTGTCAGCTGCCGGCGGCGTTGGACTTGCTGCGCTCGAGATTGTCTTGGCACACAAGGCACATCCGATAGCCACCATAGGAACAGCTAGCAAAGCGTCTTTACTGCAGGCGAGGATGAGAGGGAGGAGGAGGATACTTGGCATTTATGTGACACAGGAGAGGTTCAATTTGCCAAGCAGCAAAATCATCGTGAGAGCGAAGACTGGGAAGGATTTTGGTGATCAGGTAGGAAATATTGGTAGGGAATCGGGTGACACGTTTGCTGTAGCTTGATGAAAGCATGAAGATGAACAAATGCGAGGTTATTCTCATCTCCCATAGTGACTTCACAGTGAATGATCAAGTGATAGGAGGGAATAGCTATCGTAATGGACTCGGTACAAGGTCCTTACTTTCAGCCTTGTTATGATCGCCTCTGCCGTGGCGGCAGGTCGAGATTTTCCCAACCTGTTCTGCTTGCTGCCTCCTCCAATCTCCTCTCTGCTCACTCTATCCCCTCTCCTCCTCCTCCTCTCTCCTCCTGCTTTCACCTGATTCGATCTACTTCAGGATCGTAGTCTTTGGGGCCGCCTCTATGACTCCCCCAGGAGACAGGTATTTGCCCTCCTCCTCCTCCTCCTCC